TGGCAAGAAGGTGCATGAACTCACTGCACTGCGAGAGCTTCAGGACTTCCAGGAAGCGCTGGCAACCCTGAGCACGAAGAAGCCGACTGTGTGCCTTACAGCTCTTGGTTTCTTCTCCATGTGTCTAAACAGGTTCTGCTGGGCTCGGACTCCCAGCAAGCCAGGTGGAGGGCAAGCAGAGGGCTGGGAGGGGTAGCGAGGCAGCTGGGAGTAAGAAGGGAGCTGGAGTTTTTCCTTAGGTAAAAATAAATAGAGCGGATATCTGATATTGCCAAAGGCTGCTTGGCGATGGAGAGAAAGTGGAGTTTTTTTTAAGGAAGGAGCAGAAGGACCATGGCTTGGGTCCCAAAATCAAAATATTTGCCTTGTCCCGAAGAAAAATAAGGAAAGAGAATGAAAAAGAAAAGAAAAAAATATAAGAAAAAAAAAAGTCAGATCACCAGTGAGTAGGTGGGGAGAGGCAGGGCTGGGCTGCTGATGGCCCGGCTAAAGGTGAGGGCAGCGGAGGACACACTTGTCTCCCAGGCACACCATTCATGCTTTCTCTTAGGGTGCACGTCCTCGGGGCTTTCTAACTGACTTTGTTCACGCTGCCTCCTGTCTTCACTGGCTGGGATGTGGGGTTATGTGCAATTGGAAGGCAGTGAGGACAGGCCCCTGGAAAGCAGCCCCAATAATCCACTTGGACGCCCAGGGTCACCAGCACCTCGGCTTGTCTTCTCCCTCAGCCATTGCTTCTGTTCCCTGCTTCTCTTTTAAAAAAAAAAAAATAAAAAGGAGAAGAAAAATAAAATAGAAGCCAGCTCACTGCACGCCTGCTCCGGAAAGCTGTTATTCCTTCTTTCTCAGGCTTCTTCTCCTATCTCTCGCCTCCCTCGCTCATTCCCTCGGACTTGGCTTTCGTCTTCCCTCCCTTTCTCTCCCTCCTGCTTCTCCCTCTCCCTCTCGCTCCTCTCCCTCTCTCTCACACACATGCACACACACTGCTTTCTCTATTTCTCTCTGCTGAAATTTTATACCTCCCTCCGATGACGTCTCTGGTCCGGGGTGGGGGAGGGAGGGACCAGCGCACGCAGCCTCTTTTGCTGCCCGATCTTAATGTTTTAAACAGGCACAGGAAAAGCCGAGCCCATTTGAAAAATACTTTGCGAGTCCTCTCGTTCGTTCGACGTGGTAACTGAACTTTTTTCCCTCTCCCCTTGGAGTCACTCCTGCTTGCTACACGTTGACTGTTTTTCTGGAAAGTTACTCGGGTGAATCCCCTCCCTCCTCTCTCCCCCAACTCCTTCTCCCTCTCCAGCTGTCAGTCCGTCCTCTCCTGGGCTGGTCTCTCGCTCCCTCCCTGGCCGCGCGTCCCGGGCCGCCCCGGGCCAGGCCGGACACTGGGCAGGGTCCGGAGCGCGCGGGGCCGGGGCAGCGGCGGCCGTGCCCCCACCTCGGTGAAGGGTGACGCCCGGGGTTGGAACGGGCTTGGACTTGGGTTCAGCTCCGCGGCCATCCTGGCCCTGATTCTTCATTGACAAGATTGGAGGCGGGCAGCTTGGAGAGGCTTGGAGAGGCTTGGAGATGCTCCAGGGGCACTGAAAATGGTGGCGTTTTCCGGCAGATCGAGGGTGCCCTCTGGCGTGGCGAGACCGCCAGTGACAGAGGCTCTGCGGGTCGGAGCTGGGAGGGCTGGGGCTGAGGCTGGGGCTGGGGCTGGAGAGAAGGGGCTTGGAGAGAAGCAGAGCGACGCGAGCCCGTGCCCTCGGGGAATAGCCTCCCTCTCGGCCAGACCCCGGCGTGCGCACAAGTGCACCTCTCCCTCCCCCGAGCCCTGCGCTGCAGCCGCGCTCGCAGAAATGTCCTCCAGATGTTCGTGGCCTCCCTCCCGCCTGGGGTTCCGCGGGGATCTGCGTCAGCGAGCGCAAAGTCAGCAGTTGGCAGGAGCCCATTTCCCAGATGGGTGAGGGGAATTTTCCTCTCCGCTTTCCTTCTCCTCCTCAACCTGAGCTTCTAGGTATGTCCCCAGGAGAGAATCCGCACAGGACTAGCCCCTGAATGGAATCACTTTCTTAGAAATCAGGGTTGCTCCCTGCCACCCACCCCCACCTCACCCCAGCCTTCCGGGCCCTTCCAGCCAGGCCTGGTTCCTGCTCCTGGCTCCTAGGTTACTAACGGAAAGGGGATGTTCACCCCTCCCCGGAAAGCGGTGGATCCTTTCACAATTGAAGAAATTAAGGCACAGAGAGATTTTTAAAAAATAGATTTTTATTGATTTCAGAGAGGAAGGGAGAGGGAGAGAAAGATAGAAACATCAATGATGAGAGAGAATCATTGATCGGCTGCCTCCTGCAAGCTCCCAACTGGGGATCAAGCCCACAACCCGGGCAGGTGCCCTTGACTGGAATCAAACCCGGGACCCTTCAGTCCACAGACCGACGCTCTATCCACTGAGTCAAACCAGCCAGGGCCACAGAGAGATTTTCAAAAGGCCACACTGCTGCCCAGCCGGTGTGGCTCAGCGGCTGAGCGTGGACCCAGGACCCAGGACCCAAGAGGTTCTGGTCAGGGCACATGCTCTGGTTGTGCAGGAGGCAGCTGTTCAATGATGTTCCTCTCTCATGGATGTTTCTATCTCTCTATCCCTCTCCCTTCCTCTCTCTAAAAATCAATAAAAACACATTTACAAGTAAAATAAAATAAAAGGCCACACTGCTTATGAGTGCTGGAGGTGATATTTAATAGGGGCTTTCTGGTTTGCATGGGCATTATTGTCATTTGCATAACAAATGAGGAAACCTAGGTGTAGAAAGCTTAAAAATAACTTGTCTAAGATCATATAGCCAGCATGTATCACCACTGACATTTAGGCTGAGGAGTCTATTGCAGGTCTATGAATATAACTATGCCTCTGAAATTCAGCCAGCCTTGGAAAAAATGATTTTCTCTCATCATTGATGTCTCTCTCTCTCTCTCTCTCTCTCTCTCTCTCTCTCTCCCTTCCTCTCTGAAATCTATAAAAAATATTTTTTAAAAATCTAATATTCTCACTGAGAATCAGAGTAAGTAAAAGGTTTTAGGGATAATCTCTAAGAGTAATTACAGGGAAAAAAACTGAGTCCAGAGAGACTCTGCCTGGCTACCCAGGTAGTTATCAGCAGAGCTAGCATGAGACCACAATTCTTCTGACATCCAGGTAATGCTGTTGCTGTCACAACCCTACCCAATACACATAAGGATGAATGATGGAACTGAGTAACTTACTGGGTATTTAGTTTTAGGGTTGCTACTCACACTTCCAAGTCTTTGCTTAGTGGCCATCTAGGCCTTACCCCCAGTGCAATTTTGGAGACACTGCTCACTTTCACAGCCAGATGACCAGGGCCAGGGACACAGCCAGTAGTGTGGACTTGGTATCTTATATGGGGAGTCAATGAAAACTCAACTTACTTGCCCCGTTAGGCTGGTGAAGGGGTTCAGAACAGGCCTCCTCAAGATATGCCACTTTGACATGTGACTTATTTTGAGCTGAAGACGATGGAGCCCCTGGGGGCTCATGATAAACTTTTACTTCTCCCTTAAAGACTTTAAATTAGAGGCCTTACCCATAATAAGAGTTATCACCAAAAATAACTTTTTTGAAAAATATATATTTTTATTGATTTCAGAGAGGAAGGGAGAGAGAGAGAGAGAGAGAGAGAGAGAGAGAGAGAGAAACATCAATGATGAAAAACACAAAAGAAAGAAACATAAATGATGAGAGAGAATAATGATTGGCTGCCTCCTGCACGCCCCCTACTGGGGATAGAGCCCGCAACCCCGGCATGTGCCCTTGACCAGAATTGAACGGGACCCTTCAGTCCGCAGGCCGACGCTCTATCCACTGAGCCAACCAGCTAGGGCCAGAAATAACTTTTTGTATCTATAGCTCTGTTTATCTATAGCGCCGGGCAAACCTCTAATTACTGAACATCTGCTCATCTATTCCTGCAATGATATTCATCCCCTCTGATGCTCCAAGGTGTCTTACTTCATCCCTAGCTCAGAATGTCACATGTACCTCTTTTCCCCTTTTTGTCTCTGACTTCTCATTATATGGGATCTCTGACTCATATATATGGGGTTCCCATATTTATGTAATTAAATTTTGTTTTTTTCTCTTGTTAATCTGTCTCATATCGATTTGATTATTAGACCAGCCAAAAGAACTCAGAGGGTAGAGGAAAGCTTCTTCCGCCCTCACACTGGGAATTTGAGGGATATCTTCCTTTACTGGCCTAGGAGAATGGCTGGCACTCAATAATAAGTGCTGAAGAAAAATACTCTAGTAAGATACGGTGCCAGAAAGGCGCCTAGCTCTGCTGCTTAATGATTTCCCTCAAGCCATCTCTTTGCACATCTTCAATTGTGGGATAATTGAATATTGCTGCTGCTTACTTTATGTTGTTGGAAGGATTATTTGACTTTTGCAAGTTACTACTAGGGGTTTTGATGTGTTGGTTCAGCCTCTCTGTGACGTTTTTGAAGACAGAGATTATGTATATTGCATTTTCTGTTATAAACCATTTATTAACACCTGATCCTTGTAGCCCGTTTCCTCATCTGTGCAATGGAGATAATGCAACATATCTTGCTTCCCATACAAGGTTGCTATGCCCTTCACAGGAGCTAATAACTGTGAAGGTCCTCTGTGCATTGTAAAGAGCTATATAAATGGGAGGGATCAGAATAATCGCTACTATTAGTAGTGGTGCTTTGCAATGAATAACTGACGTATTTAAAAAAGGGCAAATGTTTTTCCACTGTCCCACAGGAGCAGCCTTAGCGGAATGTGATACCTGGCGGTTTCTTCCGGATGTCAAGCAAGGCACGTTTAGGAAATATTTAAGTTGGAGGATGGTACAGAAAATCCAGGAACAATGCCTCGACCCTTTAAATTTCGGGACGGAAGGGCGGAGCCATCGTCAGGGACGCCAAGGGGCCGCTAGGTTTCCAGGAAGTGACGTCAGGCGGCCGCGGAGATGGAGGACGTGCTGGACCTGGGCGAGGAGCGGCGCCGCGGCCCGGCCACCTCCGTGAGGACCGTGGCGGGGGCGGGAGGCGGGTTGGGGCCAGAATTTGGCGGGTGGGGAGGGGCGGCTCCGCGGGGCCCGGCTCCCTGCGGCGCCTCGTGCGGGCCGGTCCCAGCGGCCCGGAGCCGCACTGCGGGAAGGCGGAGAGGAGGCGGTGGCTTCGCGCGCCCCGCCCCCGGGCCGCGGGGGGCTCAGCCTGGGGTTCGCTTTCTTTAAAATCCTCAAAAAGTGGGAAACCGCTCCCGCCCCCGCCCCCGCCGGCCTCCGGGGTCAGTGGAAACTTGCCCCGTTCTCCTTGGCTTTCCGGAGCCCCAGGGGCGAACTTCCCTAGAAAGGACAGCTCTGCGGGCGCCCGGCCAGGGTCGTCCTTGCGCCCATTCTAGAGCTTTCCCGTCGGACTCTCCTTGTGGCAAGCTTACAGCTTACATAAAACCGCACTGTCTGATACATGGGAGGCAGGGCTGGGCCTTTTTTTTTCTTTTTTTTTGCCCGTAGCCCCCGGGGAGCTAGGCTTTTCCTCAGTTTTATGGTTAAGGAAAGCAAGACTCAGATTTATAACGTTGAGTGCTGGGGCCCAGAGGTCAGATGGAGTCTAAAGCTGTTGCGAGGGTCTAAAAAAAGCTAACCTCCCCGAACCTCGGGCTCCTCGTCTCAGAATGATGTTGCTGTCTGCCCTGAGGAGTTGCAGTGAAGACGGAATAGGATAATGCGTGGGAAAGCATTAGCACAGTGCCTGGCGATTGCTAAGTTATTAGAAGACGTTCGCTGCCGTTCTTCCCGCAGCTGCGATTCACCCAGTCTAGGGTCAGTAACAAACCAAGCTGGATTCAAGACTCAAGTTCAGCGGTTTTTTGTTTTAACTCCATTCACACCCCCCTCCAAGCCTTTTTTACCTTTAGAATAGTCAAGAGTACATTTACTAAAAGATTGAGCCACTGGGCAGAGCTTTAGCTTGTGCTGTGGACTGTGGAATCTCTTAAGTGTTATTTTGTTTTTTAATACCCTGGTAGCATCTGCTGTCCTCCAAGGTACTGGATAGGAGCACCTCCCTAAGGGAGAGCTGAAGCATAGGAACACATTGTTCTAAGACAGTGGTTCTCAACCTTCCTAATGCCGTGACCCTTTAATACAGTTTCTCATGTTGTGGATGACCCCCAACCATAAAATTATTTTTGTTGCTACTTCATAACTGTAATTTTGCTACTGTTATGAATCATAATGTAAATATCTGATATGCAGGATGTATTTTCATTGTTACAAATGGAACATAATTAAAGCATAGTGATTAATCACAAAAACAATATGTAATTATATATGTGTTTTCCGATGGTCTTAGGCGACCCCTGTGAAAGGGTCGTTCGACCCCCAAAGGGGTCGAGACCCACAGGTTGAAACCGCTGTTCTAGGACGAAGCAGGTTGCTTGATTGACCAAGGAGAATATGAGGTCACCAGGCTTTTCTGATATGTGAACTTGTGTAGTACCGGGTTATATAAATGTAGTTCTTTGTTCATCTTTTCAACTAACACTTATTGAGCCCCTGTTGCGTATCAGGCGTTTTCATAGGTGCTGGAGTGCCGGGAGCCAATTCCAGCCTGTCAGCAAGGGCTGAATCATCTGGTGTAGCAAGGGCATTTCCCCAAACCTGAAAAGGATGTATTACATTGATTGTTTGGTGCCAGACAGCTCAGGGCATCTTAATCTACATGTTATTGCCTCCTACTGGCCAAACACCTGAACAGCCAAAGGCGATTTTCCCAAATCTGACGATGGACTCTGTAAATGAAACCGGACCCTTTGATGTGTATATCTCTGCCTCACCTCAGGACAATTTGTGTTAATAAAAGGCATGGGGTCCTGAGATGAGGAGATCTTAGTTTCTTAAGCTAGGCTCCTCTGACCCCCAAATGCCTTTTAAATTTTCGTCTCTGGACTCTTATTTAAGTTACACCCAGCCCCTTCTCCAGATTGCTGAACCCTTCTTAATGCCGGAACAAGAACCCCGGCACTGGAGATAAAGCAGCGAATAAAACAAAGTCCTTGCCCTTACGGGGTTTATATTTCCAGTGAGGCAAGATGGACAATAAACAGACTATACATTCAAAATATATAAGATTGGGTAATGAAATAGTTTTTCTATTAGTCATACATGTGGACTTATAACGGGGTCTTCGAAAAGTTTAACATTTTAAAATACTTAATTTTTAGAGCAGTTATCTATAAACAGCATTTAGAGACAAGATCATTGAATTTTTGTTTTAGCACAACCACTGCTTATGGTATGCCATATTTATATATCCAATGCTGTGATAAATGGAAAAGCATAACCACAAGTGAAACAATGGAATTGTCTGCCTTGGGGGGAAAAAATGAGCTGCTTATTATCAGGAAGATTGTTTCCATCATCTCTGAAACCTAAATGATTGATTAAAATTCGAAATGGCCTGGCTGGTGCAGCTCAGTGGTTGAGCATCGACATAGGAACCATGAAGTCACGGTTCAATTCCCAGTCAGGGCACATGCCTGGGTTTCAGGCTCAATCCCCAGTGGCGGGGGGCGGGGTGGGGGGGGTGGGGCGGGGGCGGTGTGTGCAGGAGGCAACCTATTAATGATTATCTCTTATCATTGATGTTTCTCTCTCTCTTTCTCTCTTCCTCTCTGAAATCAATAAAAATATATTAAAAACAAAATTTGAAATGTAAACACTCCGTAAGAGTTTTTATACAGCTCCCATGTACCCCTTCTCAATTTGTCGGTACAGATAGTTCTTAGGACATCATAAAACTGAGATTCCAGCATGGTATAGTGGAAAGAACTCAGAATTTGAAGACAAGAAGATTTTGCTTTGAGATTTATGTCTGCCACTTAATTGCCTTTCTGGGCATCGATTTCCTCATTTGTAAAATGATATTAATCCCAGTGCCTGTTATTCTGAGAGCAAATGAAACTATATCAAGTGAGGTCTGAAAATATTTATATCAATGCTATTTTGTCTTTTAAAAGCCAACAAATGGCTCTAGTTGGTTTAGTTCAGTGGATAGAGCGTCGGCCTAAAGACTTCATGAAGGGTCCCAGGTTTGATTCCGACCAAGGGCACATGCCCGGGTTTCAGGCTCCATCCCCAGTAGGGAGAGTGCAGGAGGCAGCCGATCAATGATTCTGTCATCATTGATGTTTCTCTCTCTCTCTCTCTCCCTCCCTCCCTCCTTTCCTCTCTGAAATTAATAAAAATAGATTTTTTTAAAAAGCCAACAAATGAATAGATAAATATTTTAGTACCCATTGGTCTGCCTAAATAAAGTTTTGTTGATGTGTTGTGAAGCATTTGAGATATAGAGCCTCCCCTGCAGGAGGACTTTGGGGAAAACCTGCAGATGGTTCATTTGATGACTCAGAATGTGAAGTGTTCTGATTTCCAAAGCTGATGTCTCAACATTCTTGTAAGAGATTTTCTTTCATGTTGTAAACGGAAATCCAATTTAGTTTACACGTTAAAGCAAATGCTACCTGTATTTCTCTTTTGGCAGTTCCCATGGAATTTAGGAATTCTCTCTCAAAAACTTTTTTTTGATAACTGTTCTCATGTCAAGATGCAGCTTTGAAAGTAGGTCTTCCTAAAATCCTGCATGAACATGGGAGCCTTTACCACATTCTTCCTTAAACTGTGGCATGAGGTCTCTGCCCATTCCAGAGGAATTTCTAGTTTCATTTCTTTGGGTAGAAATGATCTATGGTGGTTAAATGAAAACCTTATGATCATTAACCCATGAATTTCCTATTCTTCTACCAAAGAGAACTGACCTCAGTTGCTTTTAGGGTTTGGAGCATTTGCTAAGAATATATTCAGATTCCTTCACCATGTATTCATAAATCCAGTTCTTGCTTACCTTCCCAGAACTCTTGTCCTCATAGCGGCTCAAAGATGTTTGGGTCAGCAGTGCCCCTCATTTCTTATAGGAGGCCAAGATGGGTCGCCGAGCTCAACAGGAGTCAGCTCAAGCCGAGAATCCCCTCAGCGGCAAGAATTCTTCGATTCTGACTGGAGAGGTGGGTGTTAAAAAATCTGAGGAAATGCTACAAATTAGTATTCCTCATTTCTTCTCTTTAATGTCAGCTCTTCTCCTATCTTGATTTGGGAATTCCCTTCCTGGGCATTTGTCACCTGAGTTAGAAATGGAAAAGAAACACTTGATCTTCGATGCTGGAATAGTTTCTGTGCATTGCTTTCTATTCTCAAGGAAGAACTTTGTAAAGTTAGCTGAAGCAAGGGACTGGGAAGTTTCAAAATCTAGTTGAAATCCAGGTTGTTATTTCTACTGAATGAAGGCCAGTGAGGCATGCTGGTGACACCAAGTTAGATTACACACCTGGACATCTCATGGGGACCTGCACTTCCTACAGTGTCAGGCAGGAAGAGGATCAGTACTGGCCTTATTTCCCTGGAAACTTTTCCTCTGAGTAGCCCAGACTTATGGGAATTTATCCGGTTTCCTTGTAGAGGGTGGGTAATCCTGATAAGCAATACTTTTAATGCCAGGGTACTATTTTCGGCAGTTTCACCTTCGTTTGTCCGTTTGAAAAAACGTTGCCCTTTTCAAGAGTCAGCTTCAGGGTAATCCCCTCTGTCAGTCAGCTCTTCTCCAGGTTGAGGTGGGGCTCCTTCCTCTCAGTTTCCATAGAACATCTCACATTATATGCTAATGTTCGTTTTACGTGTCTGTCAGCCCCGCTAGACATTGAGTTCTCTGACAGCAGGAAACCTGGCTTCTCCGTTGTCTGGCTTCTGGGCCCATAGTAGGTTTAGAGTAGATGAGGGGATGTCACTGATAGAAATGTGGGTACAGAGAATCATTTCTCTACTCTAGGATACCAACCATGCCAGCGCAGAAAAGCTGGCAGCTGACCCTTGGCCTCATTGCCTGAAAACAGTAGGGGGAGTGTGAGTTGGGGGATTGTAGGAACAGGAGGCCAATGCCCCTTCTAAAGGGGTAACCACTACATAGCCAGAGCTGACTGATGCTGTGGGGAACACAGGCCCAGTATTGCCAGATCCCCTGACTTTGCAAGAGATGTTGGCAGTCTAAACTTTTATATGAAAGCAACAATTTTTAGAGGTTAGCAATTAATTATAAAAATTATGGCCTAGCCGAACCGGTTTGGCTCAGTGGATAGAGCGTCAGCCTGTGGACTCAAGGGTCCCGGGTTCGATTCCGGTCAAGGGCATGTGCCTTGGTTGAGGGCACATCCCCACTGGGCGGGCGTGCAGGAGGCAGCTGATTGATGTTTCTCTCTCATTGATGTTTCCAACTCTCTATCCCTCTCCCTTCTTCTCTGTAGAAAATCAGTAAAATATATTTAAAAAAAATTATGGCCTAGATTAGGCCTGAAGGTTGTTAGTATGTGACTTTGGCCATAGCACCCCCATTATAGTGCTTATTACATTGTAGTCTAACATTTTACATGTCTGGCTCCCTCATGAAATGTGAGCTTCTGGGAGACAAGGGTGTGTCTTACCATTGTACATCTTTGTTATCACAGTGTCTGTCACAGAACAAGTATACATTTGACATTGCAAAGGATGAGGGGATGAAGTGCATAGTGTGTGATGGGGGATCTTAGAAGCTGAGTAATACTGTTATAGGGTCAGGGGTTGGCAGATAGTGGAACATTGGAGGCACGGTTATGAGTGTGGTAGTATAATATAAAAAGACAGTGAAAGAAGACATACCAGCCCCAACCTGGATCTCAAGAAGCTTGAACTGTAGTAAGGTACATCTTTAAAGAGAAAAGGGGCAAACAGATGATTGGGTTAATGGAAATCTATTCTTGGCCTCTGGCCACTTTAGACTATAGTTCTAGGAGGATCCATCGCAATACCAGATGACTTATTCATTTATTCAACAAATATTTATTGAAGCTTTCTGTGTGCAGGCACCATTTTAGGACTTGACATATTTCAGTGAACAAAAGAGACAAGGTTCCCTGCCATAACAGAACTTATATTCTTGTGATTATTGGCAGTTAGGAAGACTGACTACAGGTCTACTTAATTGTGAAGGAGGTTACAGCCTGTAGTGGTCAGGTGAGCGAGCCTGTGATGGGCCAGGATGTCCTGGAATGACCTATGGCCTTGAAGCCCGATGTGGCCCCCATACCAAATGGGCTCCTCAGCTGGGGTCAGTAAGCACTGTTCATCTACCCACCCCCTTCCCTTGGCTTCCAGCAAGAGTCAGTTCTGTGAGCACATAACTCCAGAGTCACAGACTGATGAACCTTGCAGGGTTTCAGCCTTTCTGGAATACTTGCTTATTTCCTTTTTTTTAAAAACTATGAGCGTTAGCATTTTCTGGGAGAACATGATGAAAAGTCATTCTCTTCTTTGTCTAATGGGTGTATCTGACAGCGAAATGCCTGTCAGAATTCCAGGATTCCTTCTCTCCCTGGGTTAATTGAGGTTCAAAGCAGTGTGGGCAGCCTCCCCCCGGGGCCAGATGCTCACTGTGCTGTGTGGGACTTTTTGGCTGTTTCTTTCTAAAATTAGATCCTAAGACTTGTGTGTGTGCCCATTTACATTCCGAGTGTATTACTTGATATATTTATTTTTGTCCTCTCGCTGACTATATTCTATGATGAAGCTATTCATGAAACTGTAAGTATGGTACCTGGGCTTGTCAGACATACTGGAGTTACTTTAGAGTTAAGTAGGAAATTAGTTCAAACAAGTTACCTTAAAGCGAGATGGCAGAGTTGGGAGCGCTGGCGAAGGAAGCAGAGAAGGGGTCCACTGGAAGAGAGAGAGCACAGGACTTGGCATCAGAAGACCAGGGCTTGTGACAGCTCTGCTAATTAATTGCCTGGATCTTGAACTAGTCCACTAATCTCTCTAATCCTCCATTTTATTATCTGTCAAATAGTGGTAACAATACTACCAGGTTGCTGTGGGGATTAAGTGAAATATGCATTTAAAAGCACTTGAATAACGGAGAAGCCTGGCACAAGCGTTCATTCATGCAGTAAACTAGTGAATAAGTAAGTATTTGGACAGTGCTCTGCTGTTTTTAGTAACGAAGAGGATGTAAGCTTGGGTCTCTGCTAGAACTGATTGGAAAGGCTCTTCATGGCTGCTCCTCATGTAACCACAGGTTGACCAGTAGGGATCCCAAGCAGTGTTTGTGCTTTCTGGGTGCAGTGGACATTCCTTATACGAGTGGACAACAGCACAGGTCTTGGGGTCATGCAGGTGGGTCATACCGGCCTAGGCTCAAATCCTGGCTCTGCCACACATTAGTTTTATGACTCGGACCGAGCAAGTTACTTAAAACGGGATATTAATATTACATACTCTGTAAGGGTGGCTAGAGAGAAAAAATGAGGTCATAGACGTAAAGCCCTTAATACAATCTGGGACATAAGTGCCCAATATATTGCTAACCATTATTTTTCTAGACTTTTCTTCTTTTTAGTTTGCCTTAACCATCTCTACAAAGGTTGAAAACTGGTGGTCTTCAGGCTGAATTTCACCTATAGTCATGTCTTGTTTGATGTGGGCAGAGTTTAATTTTTTTTCTTTTTATTTGGTTGTTATCATTTATAAATTAGGAAACTTCATGTGAAAATCTAAATTTTGGGCTTCTTTCTAAAATCAGAAGTGTTGGCACGGTGGGAGTGCTGGGCTGGCATTTCCACAAGGCTGGAGCTGGCTGGAGCTGGTAACGGTGCTCGCGTACATGCGACCTGCCCTCTCCATTTCGCCACTTGGCCACTTGTTACTGTAAACACCTGGTCAGATTTACTCACATTTGTTCTGCCTGGTTTCTACTTCCATTTGAGTTTCAAACTCCTGCTTTTTTAGGGTGGATTGATTTTCAGGTGTCCTTGTGCATCTGTTAGTGTTGAATTTGGCTACATCTATCAGAAACTCAACCCCAGTGCTTGAATCAAACAGGCATGATTTTTCTCGCAGCAAGAAGCCCAGAGGAGGGCAGGGCAGGGCAGGGCTGGTGCGGTCCTGCATGACCCTTTCCCCTTCTAGCTTCCAGCTCTGCCATCTGGAGCTTGGGACCTCTTCTCATGGTAGCAGAATGGCTGGTGGTTCCCCGGGATCAGAGCTGCATTCTGGAGAGGAAGAGAAAGGATGGTTGAAGCGTTCAAGGTGCATGCCAACCAAGTGTGTCCCTCCTTTCTTTCTAGGAAAACAGTAGCCAGAGATCTCACCAAGTGGACTTCTAGTTATATTTTATTGGTCAGAACTGGGTCTTACAACCACCTTATTTTGCAAAGGAGTGTTCAACTGGGCATGTGGCCACACCCATAACATTGGGGTGTTGTTTTTTTGTTAGAGAGGAGAGGAGAATAGAATGGCTGTTGGGTTGGCAATTTGCACTGACGTGTTTTTTAAAAAAGTAGAATTTATGCAAAGTTGTGTGTGTGGTTTTTTTTTAAAGATTTTTAAAAATAGATTTTTAAAGGGAGAGGAAGGAAGAGAAAGAGAGAGAAACTTTGATGTGAGAGTGAAGCATCAATCAGCTGCCTCCCATATGCCCCCCATGACGGATTGAACCTGCAACCTGGGCATATGCCCTGACCTGGAATTGAACCGGCAACTTCCGGCTAGGGCTTTTTTTTTTTTTTTTTTTTTTTTTTTTTTTTTAATGTAGCCTTGGGTATGAAAGGGAAGAATTATTTTTTAGTAGTAAAAACAAAACAAAACAAAAAACCAACCCACATCTCTCTCTAGTTTTTTTAATTTAAATTTGTGTAGCATTCGCTGAAAAATTGTAAGCCCTGAAGTTCCAGGAAATCTTGATAGAATTGCCTGTCACTCTCTTCTAGTTATTTCTAACACCTGGAGGCTTTTCGCTTACAGGGTATGTGTGGCTCAGTCCTCCCTCTCTCAAAGAAGAGGGAAGGTCTCTGTTTGGTCATTTGGTAAATTTCAAGGAACTTAACTATTTCATTGTACTGATTGATCAGAACGATGAACTCTTCCGATAGTTTTATTCTTACTCACTCAGAGTTGATTAGAATTGTGAATATTTCTTTCAGGT